CCCCCCCCCCCCCCAAGCACGCCACAGCGGCACTCTCTCCTTGCGCCGGCCCCGACAGCGTAGCCCCTGACCCTCGCCCAGTACTACCCACTGCGCCGCATCGAACCACTCACATCTACGAGCGTCTGCAGGCTGCTCATGACGTCCGTCGACATGTGTTGCAGAGCGCGAGCATTCACCGTCGGCTGGGTCTACCATCGCCAGACAGGGGTGGCGTCACGTGGTTGGACGACGTCGGACGATGACAGACAACCGTTGCAGGTCGTGCAAAAAGACGAGAACGGCAGCGAGCGGCGGATGCGACGGAAAACGACAACCGGGGTTGTGTTTCAATCGACTGATGGATGATGGATAGCGCGACTAGAGGCTGGGGTTATCTCCCATCCTGTCTGTGTGACCCCCGGCTGGCTGGTTCGTCAAAGCACGTAGACTTGGCTTCCAGAGCAAGTGGGACCAAGAAAAAAATACACACAACATATAATTGCAGCTTGCTCATGTATCATCGGAGCAAAAACAAGACAAGTACGTAAAACGGAAGAAACTGACATTTGTTGCGAATCGGAAGCATGCCATATTTTGGAAAGCTGGGGTCAGCTATAGCAAGAAATGTTGGAGGAGGTTCCCCCTTTTCTGGCGACAGCAACGAACGCTTGTTGGAAACATGCCGGCGAGCGGATTCATCTACAACATGTCGCGGTGTCTCCTCTCCCAACGAGCAGTCGCTCGCTTGCGTACTCCTCCGACCGTTGCCAGACTGCAGCTTTCCAACGCTCGTGACTTGTCTGACCTGCATCTGGCGGCTCATCTGCACGAGAACGTCACGCAGGCAGATGGCCCAACTCTTGATCTTCGCCATGTTGCCCTAAGTACCACGCAGCAAGCAGGGAGCGAAGTCACGCGCGCGTGTTAAGAGGGGTGCCTTGTATGGCTAAGGGGACTTCTAGCTCGACTCTCCGGCATGAACTCGTACACGATTAAACATGACAGTGTTGGACAGATGGCTTAAGCAAACCAGAACAACCAAGGGGTCTTGCACATGGACATCGAGGCTAAACCTACTGTTCGACATCGGTGCTGAAGATACGTCGATGTACGCTTTGCGTTTGTCCTGCTGAAGGATAAGGGACTTGGCGAACTCGAAGCGTGTGCCTGCGCGGGTGTACATATTATGCTTGTGCATTTTGGCAATGCCATGAATGTCCGCGTGTCAACGGTTTTTTGGGTGTGACACACATCACCACAGTCCCTGGCTGGGAAGAGCGTACGACCTCCAAACAACGGCCCGCTCGTCGTTGGCTTTCTTTTCTAATCATCCAGCAGAAAGGCGCCTTCTTCCGTTAAAAAAAAAAAAAAACACAGTACAGCACAACTACAAACCTTGAAATCGAGAGAGGAACGCGAAGCACCGGACGCGAGCCCCACAACCAACGATACCGACAAAACTTTCGCAGATCCTGAAATCCCTTCAGAGAACGAACCGCGGCCTTCGTTCTGACACCTGCATCGCGTCCCTGGTGTCCACGCTGTCGGCAATATGGTTCAGCATGTGGCACGCCACTCCAATCCACGGCAGGCTTTCCGCGAGCACACCGACCATGTTCAACCCGAGCGCCATTCCTCCAGCAATCGTTGCCCCCGCGGAGACCACCGCGCCCACGCGGACTTCGCTGCCTGGAATAATGGAGGGAGGGGAGGAGGGGGGTAGGCTCTCGTAAAAAAGGAGCAACAAACACCCAAGGTGCACGGAGTACAGGGACGCACTATAATGGGGGTCCCTGTTTAAGGCCGCATGCCCGTAGCCGTGTGTGAGGCCACACTGAGTTGGCGAGACACAGGCGGAACAATCAACTTGTCACGTTGATGTGCGGGGTGCCTTGACACACTATAATAGGGGTCCCTGTTTAAGGCCGCATGGCCGTAGCCGTGTGTGAGGCCACACTGAGTTGGCGAGACACAGGCGGAACAATCAACTTGTCACGTTGATGTGCGGGGTGCCTGAATGAAAACGGCCGGCCAAATACCTCGGCACTACTGAATATTAATATGCTGTGCTCTAATTCGGGAACGACTGACTATCACACCATCACCACTAGCACGGGGAATCGGCTTCTCGACGCATGGAACGGGTGAGATTGCCTCTGGTGCACTTGGCGTGAGCGCCACTAAGGGTTTCGGCTTCACCTGAAAGAGAAACGCTGTGCGTCTCGTCGCCGGGTGTCTGCCCGCCGTGGTTGGGGGGGTGCGTGTTGCGCATAGCCCCCACCATGTCGGTCGGTCCGAAGGCGGCAAAGTCTGCGGAAGGTTAACAGCAGTTCAGTGCCGCGCGGGAGGGAGAGGTATAGGGGGGGGGGGCACAGCGCGTTGTGGTAGGAAACATGAGCTCTGGTGTGCGTTTCACAAGGGTTGCGTCCGTTCGCATTCGTACAAGCGTTGCTTTGTGACGGCACTGGACACAGATTAGTCCTCAGAAACATTGTGACAAATTTTCGGCGAGCGATAGATTGTTGGTATGGTACAAATTTGTAGCACCGAAGCTGTGTACGCGGGAGGTTCTCGTGGTGGTGGGTACGGGTAATGATAGCTTTTCAACCCCTTGCGTATGCGTACGACGTTCTCATCCTGTTCCGAGTTGAAGGCAGCAACCCTTCCGAATCCTAATCCTCATTTCGAGAGAGCCCCTTGTCTTGTCACCTTCGAGTCCACGAGCGTCGTCACCCCCACCCGTACGATGGCCCGCTTCGTGGTGAGTACCTGTTTGACGGGGAAGTCGCCCAAGGGCGCAAGCCAATCAGAAAAGGTGCAATTCTCTTCTCGGGGAGACACGTGGAATACACTTCTGTCCCAGTTCCAATTCCGTCCCATGTGCATTTCCTCGTGTCTTGCCCAAAACCAACGTAAAAACAGACAACAAGATAAACACACGCCCATTTTAGTTTACATATTGTAGGCTAGTTCACGGGGTCAGCTCTGGCTACAACAATCCCGAACCTACACGCGAGGGCGACGATTTGCATCCGAGCGATGCTACGGCGTTGCCGGAGGTATCATTATCACACATCGTACCAATAGACGGCAGTTCGCTCCGGCGAACGCCGCAGATAGCGAGCGCCACGAGAGCACGGCCGCAGAAGGCTGACTCGTACCGTCATCACATTCCCAGTTTCCATCGTCATCACAACAGCTGGCAAGCGTGGGTCGGGTCCTCACCGCTCGTGGTCACGAAGGGATTCATCTTCTTGCAGAAGCCCGACTTGCCGCCTTGCCTCCCTAGGCGCCGGCAGCAGCATAGAAACATGATGCCCACGGCGACAATGGCTCCGGCCACCCCAGTGAGGGCAATAGCGATTATCCATTCCTGGGGCGCGTGATGGTGAAACATCCGCCAAGACCAAAAAGATGAAAACGGCATAAGGCCAAATAATTGTCGGCTTTCGGTGTGATCTGGTTTGACGAAGGGGCTTCTTCAAGTTGCGGGGGGTGTGTTGGCAATATACATCGTACCGACAAGGTGACAGACGCGCCGGCCACCACGGTGTCGTCGTCATGACAAAACACTCGGGGTGAGGTGTATGACAAACAGCCAGACACCCCGCGTTGAGCGAAACAACAATCCGCCCAAGCCAACAGCCTGACCGTACTTTTATTCCAACGCTGCACATTTCTTCGACACGGTAAGACTCGGAGAGCCGAAACGTCACGAGAGAAACACAGAAAAGAAATTGCCGCAATATTTTCGATGACATTATCTCTGGATTGGAACAAAACTTGACGTAAGACAAAAAAGCGATGGTGCTATTGGCGTCGTCGTCGCCGGCACGTTCCGGGCGTTGCCGTTGGCCCACGGCTGACTCGCAGCCGCTACCGTAACCCTTACCGTGCTCAGCACCTCGTCGTCTCCTACCACCACCTCTCCATCATCGTCGTCATCGGCGTCGAAAACAGGCGAGGGTGGAATCGCCACCTCCAGCCCCCCAAGCTCAATCGCAGCCAAATCCACCCCCATTGTCTCGATATCGGCCCCCCTGTCATCCGTGTCCTCGAGACCCAGCTGCCCAGATGCGTTCAAACCCCAACTTCATTCACGGGGCGGCGGCGCCAGGAAAGGGGTGGCTTTCGGTGCTTGACAATTGACACGAGTGTCTATGGTGGACGGCGGGGATGATGCCTAAAATCCAATTGAGTTGGAAGCTGCGGGGGGATTGGGTAGACAGGCGGGTCCCTAGCCACCGAACGAAAGAATCTTCAAGGCAAAGAGCCGACGAGACAAGACAATACAGAGTAGTATTCGAGACTAGATGAAACCTTTTCACGCACCACGAGGGTTCGGGGTCAGAGTCTGCCCCAATCTGCTCCAGGAGAAAAAAAAGAGACTTGTCGGAAGAAAAGGAGTTTGCAGTACAATCTTCTTCGCAGCGTTAAATAGGCGTTTTGAAAGGGGCGCCTTTCTTCAGAATTTTGGAAATGGCCAAGAGAGTTCGAAGCCGAAACAAAGGAAACATTAAAAACAAATTGGAAGCGAATGGAGCCCAAAAAAAGGTGGAACGATTGCTTTCAAGGTCGCGTAATTTCTCCACCACTTTCGCACGACTTCCTCATGCTTTGAAGTCACACGCCATTTGGAAAGCTAGCTACGCCGAACTACAGAACGTAAGACTTGAGCGAGATAGCACGACGCACTGTAATAAAAGAAACGGATACAACGTTGCATGCGGGATAATCAACGGCCTCCTTTTTCTACAGCAGACACCCGAAGCAGCAAACACTCGTACGCACAAACCACGAAATGCGCGGAATTAGAGGACAAATACCGGAAAATGGCCGCCCTGCGGACAAAGCCTCTACTCTGTGGCCCCAGCTTCAACCCACACATAATGACACAAGTCGCGACTAGACTAGAAAGTAGAGAGTCAACAAGCAAGGGTGGTTGTGGACGCACACAGGACTCGCGCCAAGAATAGTCGAAACACATTCCATGCGCAAAAAGATATGTAGCAAGTCGTTTCTACGGCAGCACTCACCACTTGAGCGAGGAGTCCTCAAAAATAACGCACGTGTGGTCGAACCCCGCGAACACCCAGCCGGCCACGCGCCCGGTGCCGAGGTCCACCGGCGGCAGGTTGTCCCCGATGGTGTCCAGAGAACCGCCACGATTGATTGTGTCCTCGAGGCCCAGCTGCCCTCCCCCCAGGTCTTCGGCGGTGTTCGCACCGAAGCACTTGACCTCGTCGTTGTCCATCAGCACGCACGTGTGCCACCGCCCCGCCGCCACGGCTACCGGGTGCCTTCCTTCGCCGAGATCCACCGCGACCATGTCGTCTCCCATCTGCTCGGCCTTGCACCCCCGGTCCTCGTCGTCCCCCTGCCCCAGCTGGCCGTCGAAGTTCCTGCCGAAACAGTGCAGCTCCTTGTTGTCCAGAATCACGCACCTTTCCGTTCAATAGAGGGGGGGCGCGATTCGGCAAAAAGAACGCATTATTTTAACAGCAAGTACACCTCTCGCCGCTCTTAGAGCCGAGCAGTGGCGAACGTGTCCCGTGCGAGGCGTCTCGCCCGTGGACGCGAGAAAAGCACCGCGAGAAAGAACACAAAACGGTGATAAGCTCGAGCGTGTGTGTCGCATGTGATACGGAGGCGGCTTACGGCTCGTGGCCCTCGAACGCTAACCGGTGTTGGGAATGGGTTCGTGGCGAAGCAGCAGCAAGCTTCGAGAACGAAACCACAGCGTTTTCAGCTTCAGAAAGCTTCAGAAAGAAACAACTCGTGTCTATGTGGATACGGATAACAGTTGATTCATTCACAGCCAACGTACCCGCAGCCTCTATACGCTCACGTGTGGTACCAACCAGTCTCCAAAGCCACAGCGGTCCGGTTTGTTCCGAGGTCGACCTCGGGTAGATTGTCTCCCATCTGGCCTGGGGCGGTACCGATACCGTCAGTGTTGCCTTGCCCTAGCTGGCCGTAGTTGGTCATGGTATCGTTCTTCGCCCCCCAGCACTGTTGCCATGACGTCATGACACGATCGATCGAGGTGGCGCACCAACGATGTTGGTGGAGATGCCTACTTTACGTCGGGAGTACACAAGCTAGCTGGTGTAGGCCAGTTTGCGTTCAGCAAATCTCGGGGGTAATGGTAATGGTGTGCATGGGTTGCACGAGTTGGGCGAGTATTCCGAAGCCCCACTTGGGGTTGTCGCGAGCACAAAGAAAACAAAGTAACCACCATAGACTACACGAAAGACATGGGGGTTGTACCCTGAATATATGAAGGGCATCTCCACGGCGAGATTGATTGTATGAAAATCCCTTTGCTTCGTGATTGTTTTTCTGGGAACCCTCAGAGCCACGACCCAATGTCCATGGGCGCACTCACGTCCCGGCGCGTTGTACAAGCGCTTCACAGCAACCAAGTCAGTCAGTCTCAACCTACACCCGACGCTCGCTCACCTTTAACGCCTCATTGTTCAAGATAGCGCAAGTGTGATGCCTGCCTGCTGCCACGGCCAAGGCCGTGTGTCCTGCCCAACCGTCCCCCGGTACCACGGAAGGCGCCACCGATGGACAGGAGCATGCAGCAGGGGCGACCAGAAGACGCCACCGAGGTTGACGTTCATGTTCGATGAGTTCTAGCCGAGGGAGCTGGTGGGCGATGTGGGAAAAGCGTTTCAAGGCATCTTCGTACCCTTGGTCGCGGTACACGCTGACCTCGCTTTGTACCGCCCAACGAACCTTAGCTTACATACACCGATGTCGAAGGTCCGCTCGGGTTGTTATCAACATCACGCGATACGTTGACAATGCACACTCCGAATCTCGACGAGAGCGCCGGCATTTTCGACTTGTTCTCCTTGTCGTGGTGGGAACGAAGGAGGGAAGAGTAACAAATCTCCCCGTCCGATTGATGGATACGCAGATTTGAACCCGTGTATGCCTACGTGTCTTCCTACTTGGTCCGCGCGGGAAGATCGCCTTGCTGTACCATTAAAATAGCTGATGTTGTCTCACCAGTACCCAAGTCGACAGACGGCAGCTGGTCACCCATCGTATCGTTCGTTTGTCCTCGATCGTCTGTGTCTCCCAGCCCCAACCTGAGCAGGAAGTAAAGGGCCCGTTGCACGAGACAAGGTTAAGCCGATGTCAGGGATCAACCACTAGACTACTCTCGCATCTTTTGCGCGGTCGCCAGAGACAGACAGCTGTATCGGGCCCCTCGAACGGACCAGTCAGTCACCGCGACGAGTGCTTCGCAAAATCACGAAATCTCGTCCTGCCATGGAAGGTGCCAGTGCTTGGGTGCGCTTGGGGCAAGGAGTCACACGACCGTTCACGCGCAAACAGAATGAGGCATCTACCGTTGGGGAATCACAAATAATGCATATGCCGTGTGGCCACGGACGTGTTCGAGAAGCAAGAAGTCAGGCAAAGCTACTCCTAAACTTGCCAGCGACGGCAGTAAATGGGGCCTAGCAACGAAAGAGAGGCAAAGAAAACCCAAGCTAGCAGCAAAACAGTAGTCCGACAGGCTGCCAGAACGATGTCACAGCCGACAGAAATGAACGTAGGTCCCATCATCACTGCCCCTCCCTTGGTCAGTCGCAATGCAAGTAATGTAGTTCTCACGCGCCGTAGTTGTTTCGCCCCCAACACTTCAGGGACCCGATGTCGAGAATGGCGCACGTGTGGTACTGTCCGCAAGCGATGTGGGTCGCCGTTCTACCCGTCCCCAGGTCGACGACAGCCAGACCCTCCCCCATGTCGGAGGAAGAGGTTCCTCTGTGTTGGGTGTCCCCAAGACCGAGCTGTGCGATCGACAACAACGGCGTCGCCCAGTGACAGACATGCGACCAGGGAGAACGTCAAAGTAGACAAAGAGGAAAAGAAAATACAGAGGCTAACCAGGACAACGACCGAAAGCAAAGGCAAAAGCGAGACGTGGGTCGTGTTGGGACATGCGTTGATCTTTTCACCGATTTCACAGCACGATTTGCATGAAAGAGCGCACGGGAGGGAACGGGTGGAGCCTTGTCCAATAGCTTGTAACACGGCGCGGCCAGACGCGAAACGACTCACCGCACGTGCGGCAGCAGGTTTGCCACGGTGGCAACGACAACAGCAGCGCGAACCGACTCTCCGTGCGAGACAACATACATAGTGAAGCATGGGTCACCTCCATCTCTGTCCGATCGGCGTGGTATGGTGCATCAGAACCGTGCTCCATCGCCTAAAAGGGTGCCGTGGCGTGCGTACCCGACGACGGCTCGAGCATGTCCCAAATTTGTACTTCGAATTTTATTTTAACCGCACATGCATTAGTACGGATGAAACAAGCGATTTCGGCTACCGTAAGGCGGTAGGGCACTGTTTTAAGCTCCAAGCCACCGTAGTACGGCACTACGCCCGAACAAGGATACCTACATTTACCGACCCGAACCCCTATTGCTTGCTTACCTGGCCATACTCATTGAAACCCCAGCACGCCACGTCTCCCGAGGCCAGCAGGACGCACGTGTGGCTCTGTCCGGCCGCCACCTGCAGCACCGTGTTACCTCCGAGATCAACCTGCGGCAGATTGGAACTCATTTCGTCCTCCTGAAGACAAGCAAGCAAGCAGCGACGAACGTGCGCGAGAGATGACCAACATTCCGAAAAGGCAGGCACAGCAGTGCTGGCTGTCAAGAGTAAGGCGGCAGATGGCAGGAAACATTGTCTTGCCTGTGCGCTGGCAAGAGCACGCGGGGTGGTAGATAAACTGTGCCCTTGGGGTGAATCGTCAACGAGTGCTGGGCGTCGATCCTTTCTCGGGGAGTCTCGAAGCACCAACTTGTGGTGTTCGCGTTCTGTTGTAGTTCGATGACATAGAACAAGCTCCGTGTAGCCAAACGGTACGTTTCCCCAGGAACGCAAGCTGACCGTTATTCTTTGCGTTTGGGTGGAACGGCCTGGGGACGGGCCTACATGGTGTATCGGTGTGGGACAAAACAATGGAAGCGCGCCCCGAGCGGTTCCGACCGAACACCTGCCGTAGTGAAATTACCACCGGATGGTATGAAGGAATATCTACTACTCCCCGGCATCCATCTCGGGAAAGGCCGCGGCCGCCGCCCTCACCTCATCTCCGAGGGTTTCGTTGTTGCCGGTGCCCAGTTGGCCGAAATTTCCGAAGCCATTTTCCACCGACGATGCCGCGTTCAGGTCTGCCACTCCGACGGCGCTGCCTCCCCCAAAACACTTGAGCGATAGGTCCGATAACACCGCGCACCTGTTTCGTGCGCGCATGTGTGTTTCTTGAACTAGCATGGCCGCGCCAACGAGCGGAAGGACGTTGGTCTCAGCGGGAAAAATGAAAACCAAATCGCCTTCCACGCGCCTTCCAAGTCAAAGGGCTCNGGGGGGGGGGGGGGGGGGCGGGGGGGGGGGGGGGGGGGGGGGGGGGGGGGGGGGGGGTTGCGTCCGTTGTTCATGATTGAAGGGCAACACGCGTCAAAACAATCCACCGGAACATTATGCATGTGGTATTCTGCGCACGCCGCGCGGAGTGACGGTTACAGGATAGGGTCATTCCTCACGATAGGCGCAAGAGAGACGACGAGAAAGAACGACTAAACGTCCACCACGATGATTTCACCCCTCTCAAGAGAAAACTTTCAGCTGTATACATACAGGTTCACGGGCTCTCTCGTTGGTCCTACAGCAGTACGTGGGTGATATGCTATTTTCATCGATCCCCCTGCCGATTCACGAAGAGGGAAGGTAACCGGTCCCCAGACACTGGGAGGCACGTTGCTCGAAAGTCGCCGCCCATCCTCGACAACAACCTCCACCCGTCTTCTCACGTGTGGAACAGCCCTCCGGCGATGGTAGGTCCTGTTGGCGTCGTTGCCGAATCGGCCACCTCCACCAGAAAGCTGATACAGAGGTGGAAAATGTGACACAAGAGCGACAACTTAAGCAGCTTCAAGCGTTCCATCCTGCTCGGGCGCTTCCACTGCCGCGTTTGGGAAGCATCCGTGTGAATGACCGGGGGGGGGCAGGGGAAGGGGCGGCGGAAAGCTTAAGTGACGTTGTAGCTTTTTTATCGTACTTCTTCTTGATGGTCTGAATCACGAGCAGGTGGACCCCCGGAGGAGAGGAAAAGCGGAAAAGCCCCACCTAGAGCAAGAACCCAATACAAGCAATACCACACAACCATCTCTACCACCTGCACTACATCACCCCCTACAGTCAACACGGGGGGGGGGGGGCAAGGGGAACGACGCTCGATCAAACCCAACGGGTCATTGAACACACGGGGTTGATGCATACGAGGTACTGCTGTACAATAGACAATCCAACGGGAGTAATATCTCCCCCCCTCCCCCCCCCCCCCCCCCCCCCCCCCCC